TATTCAAGAATGAATAACAAGAATATAACCTCTTTATGTGCACATTTTTATAACCACAGATTTGTATATGTTGAAAAACATCGATATTAACATCCTCCTTCATTCAGCAGCCGCGCTGAACAGCTCTCATCCAGCACATGGAGTCCTGTAGAGCTGTTTTACTGAGTAATAAGCATGACGGCATAAGGTATGAAGGATTTCTGGCTCTCAGCACACCCCATAAATCGGCCTCGTAACCTGGGCCGCTCCTCGTGTGGTGCTTTGCTCCATAACAGACCAAGCGTTCAGCACAACCGCTGCTCTTAAAAGTGTCTGAGGGATTGTGCGTGATGGATTCACACACACACACACAATTATTTTGAAGGATGGTCCCCATGGAGCGCCATCCCGCCACACACAAATTTTCCCTGAGAGGATATTTTTCTTTTTATCAATTGTCCGGTGCACGCAGTAAATAAATCAACCAGGGCCTTTGTTTTGCGTCTGTTTCCTTATCTACCCAGCCCTCGTAATTCTTAGACGACCTGCCACAGCCCTGTGTGTGTGTGTGTGTGTGTGTGTGTGTGTGTGTGTGTGAGTGAGAGAGAGAGTTTGTCTCAGCTGCTGTCCACTCCGGTGTGGTTGAATCTGCATATACCACCCTGTGTGTGTCTGATAATGCTATAAACTGTGTGTATCCTTGTATCCTTGACTCAATGACACACTTATGTATACACACACTTAAACGTCAGACACTGATATGGAAGAGTAAAAAAACATAATCTATAGCAGAGCTGCTATAGCTTTAGAATTTGTGCTCTTTAACCTGATGTTACTAACGTTTAGTACTATACAAAAGATTGGCATTTCAAATAAATGCTGTTCTTTTGAACTTTCCATTTATGAAAGAATCCTGAAAATTAAAATGTATCACTGTTTCCAAAAAATATGAAGCAGCACAACTGACTTCAACATTGATAATAATCAGAAATGTTTCTTGAGCAGCAAATCAGCATATTAGAATGATTTCTGAAGATCATGTGACACTGAAGACTGGAGGAATGATGCTGAAAATTCAGCTTTGCGTCACAGCAATAAATTACATTTTACAATATATTCAAATAGAAAACAGTTATTTGAAATTGTAATAATATTTAAAAATTTTATTGTTTTTAACACATTTTTGATCAAATAAAAGCTGCTTTGGTGAGCATAAAAGTCTTTCAAAATCACACCCACCCACCCAAACACATACAAACACACACACACACACACACACACACACACACACACACACACATATATATATATATATATATATATATGTATGTATATATATAAAATGTATTTTGTGATGACTGACTTGCTGTACATTTATCACTTACTTTTGGCAGTTTGAGGGAGAATAATGATGCAATGTGAACTGCATTGCATCGTGGGATGCAGTCTCATGTGCTCTAGTTGCATGCATACATTCATGCACATTTTATCAAATGTAGTACATCATCCAGTTATTGCATGCATACAAAAAGTTGACATACTGGGAACTGTATACATACTGCATTCTGCAGAAGATAGATAGATAGATAGATAGATAGATAGATAGATAGATAGATAGATAGATAGATAGATAGATAGATAGATAGATAGATAGATAGATAGATAGATAGATAGATTGTGTAAGGAAGCAGAGAGTAAGGAAGTGAATGAGAGAGTGTTAGTTCAATAAGAAGGATGTGAAGGAAAAGAGAAGAGGAAGAGATGGATGGAGGAGGATGTTTTCTGGCAGTGTCAGGTCAGCATTTGCACTGCGTGTCATGTAGGTGGGTAGCTGTGGATCGGATGCTGGAGACGGAGAGACCACAAAAGATGGAGAGACATTAGTGACACTCTGAGTGTAACAAACAGAGACAGAGGAGGACAACAGAGAGCTGAGTGGAGAAGACAGCCATGCGGAGGAACCGCAGCGCAGGGTTCCAAAACCAAAGGACAAAAGTGGAGTACGCTTGCATAGAGCTGTCAGTTAAAGGGACAGTTCACCCAAAAAATGATAATTCTGTCATTAATTACTCACCCTCGTGTTGTTCCAAACCCGTAAGACCTCCGTTCATCTTCAGAACACAAATTAAGATATTTTTGATGGAATCTGAGAGCTCTCTGACCCTCCCATAGACAGCAAGGGTACTACCACGATCAACATCCAGAAATGTAGCAAGGATATCAGTAAAATAATCGATGTGACATCAGGGGTTCAACCGTTATATTACGAAGCTACGAGAATACTTTTTGTGTGCAAAAGAAAAAAAAAACGACTTTATTCAACAATTCGTCTCCTCAGCGTATGCTGTTGTGTTTTCTACGTTGTTTGTGCTTTGATTTGAACGAAAACAACGTATCCACGTGGTGCAGCTGACACAGAACAACATACGCTGTTTGTGTTCAGTGGATACTCTCCAAAATGGTGCTAGGGTGACGCAGAGGAGATGAATTGTTGAATAAAGTCTTTTTTTTTCTTTTGCGCACAAAAAGTATTCTCCTAGCTTCGTAATATAACGGTTGAACCCCTGATGTCACGTGGATAATTTTACCGATCTCCTTGCTACGTTTCTGGACGTTGATTGTGGTAGTACCCTTGCTGTCTATGGGAGGGTCAGAGAGCTGTCAGAATGCATCAAAAATATCTTAATTTGTGTTCCGAAGATGAACAGAGGTTTTACGGGTTTGGAATGACATGAGGGTGTGTAATTAATGACAAAATTTTCATTTTTGGTGAACTATCCCTTTAAAGAAATCTAGCGCACCTTTTCAAGTGGTGTATGGAGGTGGGAAGATATCAAGAGACAACCGAATCCAGTGTGTGCAGAACATTCCTTCATCCAGCTGAGATATAAATGATCATTAAACATTTGCTTAGTCTTCTCTAAAGCTCACTTGAATCAGTTCGAGATCATCAGACATGATGTTGTGGTGCATTTGTTTAAGCCAGTTTCTGTATTTTCATGCAGAACTGTTTTATTTTGCAAATCAGTAAGGCTGCTGGCTTTGTTTCAGACACAGTTTTAGATTTGTATTTTTATAAAGGGCATTTTCTGCCTTGCTGATCTAACCTAATGATGGATTTATTAACTTTATGACCAAGCACAAAGACCTCTGAAATCAAAAAGGTCATCTAAAAGCTAGTGTACATAATATATGCTACCATTCAAAAGTTTGAAAGAAGTTTTTTTTTTTCTTAAGAAATTAATACTTTTATTCAGCAAGGATGCATTAAATTGATCAAAAGTGACATTTATAATGTTTCAATGTTTCATAAATGTTTCAACATTTACAAAAATGTCAAATAAATGCTGTTCTTTTGAAGTTTTTATTTATCAATAAGTCCTGGGGGAAAATGCATCACAACTGTTTTCAACATTGATAATCATAAGAAATGTTTACTGAGTGGCAAATCAGCATTTTAGAATGATTTCTGAAGGATCATGTGACACTGAAGACTGGAGTAATGATGCTGAAAATTCAGCTTTGATCACAGGAATAAATGATATTTTATGATGTATTCAAACAGAAAACAGTTATTTAAAATTTTAAAATATTATTTCACAATATTGCTGTTTTTACTGTATTTTTGATCAAATAAATGCAGCCTTGGTGAGCAGAAATGACTCACCAAATGTAAAAAATCTTTCTGACCCCAAACTTTTGAACAGTAGTGTAAATTTTAAAATGTACAGTTTTTCTCTTCTAAGACCAAAATAGACCAAAAATGATCTGTTTTGACTGGCGTATATACAAACTGTGTCCAATAATATGCTCTCTAACCGTCTATAAAATGTAGCATCTAACAAGTCAGGTTTTGTCATTGCGTCTTTGGTTGTTCTTTTTGATAAACTTCTTGATGTTATATTGCATCTTTAGAGCAGCAGTACATACAGTACAGAAGTGTTGTAAAAACCTTTGCTGGTTTCTCCTTTAAGCGTGTGTGTGGAACAGAAGTGGGTGGTTTCTCCCTCCATACAGTGATAACCTTGTCCAAGATCAGGCGTGATGTCTGAACGCTCTCCTCGGACACCGCAGGGATAGATGATGTCTGACCGTTCGCAACAGTCACAAGTGCTTCTCTGAATATTTCCATATTTATGGAGCTCTGATGCGTGTCTCTCTGTTATCCGAAATATCTGCCTCTCGTTTTTTGGTTTGATATTGTTTGTGGATATGAGGATTTGTTTGTCTGCAGTTTAAAAGGCCACGTTCCCCGTTACTTAGCATGTTCTTCAACAGATCACCTCTATGGATTGTCTTATGTCACTTTTAACATTGGTAATGATGAATTTTATTTTTAAAAAGCACAGAAATTATGATAAAGCACAGGATGTAAAGACCTTTTGAGAAAAGATGCAAATTTGTAAACAAAGCTTTACAATAAAAAATCAAAAGGAAAATAAAATATACTATTTTGGATCAGTAAGATTTTTTAATGTCTTTCAAATAAGTATTTTATGCTCAGCAAGGCTGCATTTAATTGATCAAAAATACAGAAAAAGCAGTAATGTCATAAAATATGATTACAATTTAAAATAACTGCTTTCTATTTGAATGTATTGTAAAATGTAATTTATTCCTGTGATCAAAGCTGAATTTTCATCATCATTACTCCAGTCTTCAGTGTCACATGATCCTTCAGAAATCATTCTAATATGCTGATTTGCTGCTCAAGAAACATTTATTATTATTATTATCAATGTTGAAAACATTTAATACTGTAATAAATAGTTTGAACTGTTTAATATTTTATGGAAAACATGCGTTTTTCTGGAGTTATTTGAAATAAACATTATAATTGCTTTTAATGTGCCTTTTGATTAATTTAATGCATCTTTGCTGTATATATATAATAATTTTAAAAACTAAAACTATATGAATCCAAAGCAAAATTGAAATCAAATGTGAATGATTGAAGCTTGTCTAGTTTGAAATAGCAAAAGGTTTGTCCACAGACTATAATGTTTCGTGATCTCCTGCAGCTCCCACGATCCTCAACGAGCTGAACTGGACTCAGTCTCTGGAGAGGGTCTTCATTGAAAACAGTCGTGAGGATCCTTCGCTGCGCTGGCAGGTGTTCGGCAGCTCCACCGGAGTCACCAGATACTACCCAGGTAAAGCTCTTCTGTAAACCACAGTACATCCATTTCTGACAGCAAACTCTGAGTGTGTTGTGTTTTCTCTCTCTAGCCACAAAGTGGAGAGCACCCAACAAGATTGACCTGTATGATGTGAGGAGACGCCCGTGGTGAGTACGGTCAGCCGGCGGAGGAAAGACTCCATTTAGTCTGACTTTGATCTTGTTGTTTTCCCCGGCTCCCCGGCGGCCTCTGCTGCAAAGAGCAAGCAAGCGTGTGAAGTTCAAATTAAGTCGGACTGCCGCAGTTTACAGTGCCGCCTACACCGGGGGTCAGAATGTCTCAGCGGCGTCCAGCGGGGTCAGTCTGTCCCCATGTGCTCGCTTCAGATCTATAGGGAAGACTTTACATTATGATTTCCTGCGTCGTTGCGTTCCTGCACCAGTAAATGCTGCGCAAGAGGCGCTAATGCAAGCTTTAGCATAAACTGCCTTCTACAGCCAGTTTTCTCTTTCAAGTCAACTGTCATGGCAGAGCATTGGTTTTTTTAATGTGTGGGTACAAGCCTGGCTCAGATGCAACCTCCAAAATGAGAATAAAATCTAGCTGTGAAGAGGAAATCAATGGAAAATTGGCAGAATTTTTTGCAACATTAATTTTTTTAAGCTTTCTTTTTCTTTCTTTCGATCTTTCTTCATTTATTAATTAATTTATTTATTCAACTGAAGTTATTTTTTTATTTAGCAGATTTTATTTATTTACAAATGTATGTATTTATTTAGCTGAATTAAAATAGTAGCTCTTTATACTATTATTAAAGATGAATTTGAATAGAGTTATTTTTATTAATTATTTTTATTTAGCAGAAGTTAATTAATTATTTATGCATTTATTTAAATGAATTTAATATATATTATTATATATAATATATATATATATATTAAAAATATGCTTTTATTTAGCTAAAGACATTTTATTTAATTAATTCATTTATTTGGCATGTTATTCATTTATTTATTTATGCATTCTTTTAGCTGAAGTTATTTTATTTATTTATTTTTATTTAGCATCATATTTAAATATTTGACTGAAGTTATTTTATTTTTTATTTTATTTTATTTGGTTTATTTATACATCTAAGTTTAGACTAAATTGTTTATTTATTTTTAATTCAGCAGAAGTTATGTATTTATTTTTTAATGTATTTATTTAGATGATGTTAAAATATTTATTTATTTATGCACTTTTCAGCTGAAGTCATTTTATTTATCAATTAGTTTTATTCTGCATAAGTTATGTATTTATTTACTTGTGTATTTATTTAGCTGAAGTTATTGTGTTTATTTAATTATTTTAATTTAGCATAAGTTGTTTATTTAGCTGAAGTTGTTTGATTTAATTTTATTCAGGCATTACTTATTTATTTTTTTATTTTGCTGACAGTATTCATGCCTTCATTCATGCATATTTATGATGTGGAAATATGTCACAATATGGGCAAAATGTCATAATATAGGCCACATTTTTATATGCACTCAAAAGTATATTGACTTTCTCATTAACAGCAAAGTACATCTTTTAGTGTGTGATGTAAGTGAACATAGCAGCAGTGCATTAGCCTGGGCCAAAGTGCTTAGTATGTAGTGGACGCTTTCATCCAGAGTGACTCACAGTACACTTGTCAGTGGAACAATCCCCTCAGGATTAGCCCGGGGTTAGGCGTCATGATCGAGGGCATAACTTTAGCCGCTACGCCACATCACCCCTACTGATTGCCCACAGAAATACATCTCTGTCTACTTAATGAAGAAAGAAAAAGCTATTTAGGTGGAAAAGCAAGGTGTTTAAATGGAAAACAAGTTGTTATCAGGTGTTGGCGTGTTAGCCGGCTGGATGAGCGTGTTTCCCAGAGTACGGGAGTCTTAGCGAGGCGCTAATGAGCCTCTTCTTTGACAGAGTAATTAAGTTCACACTCAGGGAAAGTGTCTCCGGTGGAGAAAAAAAACAATCCCCAATATACCTGTAAGAAGCTTTTAACCTAAAGACAAACAACACGAGCAGCCAGCTAGTTAGCTTGTTTGGCTGACAAAGCGCTAATGTTGCTGATGAGCCGGAGCGAGCTCTACATTGTTTTTGTTGTGATGCCACACGCTCTGCAGACATAATGAGTTGCTTTTAATGCTTTTGTGAGTGTGTAGGCTAGCAGTGCTGTACAGAAGCACAACAGCTCTATAAGCGCAGGGATGATGAATAGCTTTGGAGCGCGCTGTCAGCAGGCGCCCTGCTCCACATGCTGTTTCTGTTTTCATACGTCTACAGTATGCAGGTTTGTGCGGTGTGAGGTATGACCAAACTCCTCCTCAGATGAGGGAGCCATCCATTTGTCTTTGGTTCTCTTAACGAGTAATTTCATATCATGATTATGGTGCATATCACAGTATAAACATTAAAAATGTTTGTATATGATGTAACCATGTGATCTGATATTTCAGAGTATTAAATATCTTTTTATACAAATTTACAGTTCACATTTACAAATGAAAGATAGTTTATCCTTTTGTTCAAACTTAAAGGACACAAATCAAAATAGCATATGATGCATAAAAAATCAGTCGTACGTCAAGCATCAGTGCAAAAACAGCTTCATATTTTGTGACACTTAAAAACAAAAACAAAACAGTTAGTAATTATTATGGGATGAGACATATTTTGAAGCTGTAATATATAATTTTATTAAAAAATTATATGTATATTTATTATTATATTTATATTAAATTATAATTATATTCATTTAATCTTATTATTGCTGTTGCACATTCCATTATAGCATGTGTTTTACATGTTATTAAAAAAATTTTTTTATATAAAATATTTTTTCTAATCCTGTATTTTTAACCATGACATAACATGAAATAAATATTGTTTTAATAAGTTTTATTATTTATTGAACATTGGAGTCTTTTATAATATTGCTGTTGCATCTCTTTTATTATATTTTATTGTAATTTATTATAGTTCAGATTTTTACATCTACTTAATTTTTTAATATATGATTTATAAATTATAACACTTATTATAATGATATATATAATAAAATTATACACACACACACACATTCTTAATAAGTTTTGTCATTTATTGAATATTGCTGTCTTTTATAATATTGCTGTTGCACCTATTTTATAAAAGCCTTTATGCTTCATTATTTCATATATTTCATTATTTCACCTATTTTTTACCAATTAGATATTTATTTTGCATGTCTCTTAAAAGTGTGAAATATTATTTATTTATTTCTGCCTGCTGCTTCCTAGTTGCTAGTGTAGAGTTTGGAATTTGTGTGTGTGTGTGTGTGTGTGTGTGTGTGTGTGTGTGTGTGTGTGTGTGTGTGTGTGTGTGCTGCCATCAGCCGATCAGTGTTGTCATGATGTCATTTCCTGTGGCTCTAGGGTGATTAGTCACGTGGCGTTTAGTGCTCAGGTGATTCACTCATATAGCAGAGATGGCAGAGGAAGATTAGAAGAGTGTGAATGCTGAATGGCTCTTTATAGGTATTACAGCGGTCTACTTTTGACACACTTGTAGCAGCAGCACTAGCATCCAAGCATGTGTCACACTAGCCGTCTGCCTGCTGCTCTTT